TTAAAGTGTCCTACGATAGATGCAAACTTTGACTTTGGCAAATTTGCTCAAGTTCTCGTTTGTATCCTACGCGGAGATAGATATTGTGAGTATATTGAACAAAATAAATCGAAATAATCTGTTTCTGCTTAATGTATATTACAACATTTGCTTCGTATGTTCAATGATCTTGAATATACTGTTTTATGTCGTCTGTTTCTAGTTATTTTATCCACATCTAAACTCAAAGATAACTTTCTAATAATTATTTAAGATGGCGGCGTCTATGCATTTTGAATGTTTTGAACGTATATATTGCATCATCCAAGTTTTCGAACACATATATATATTTTACATCCAACTATTCATCCTCCATGACAGTAGCATATAAATGGAATCGTTTAAGACTTTTACTAGTTTATTAATGTGTACTGTTGTATTGCTGTATTATCAATTGTCTTTGCTTTTATGATACGATATTTGAACTGACCTTAAAATATTCTAACAAAAGCATGTAGGGCGTTGTTGATAGCTTTGCTTTTTAAATGAGTCTTATATAAGTCTGGATTTTTCCCAATTCATTTTAAATCTCAAATAAGACTACTGTAGAAACTTTATATATTTCTGAACAGCTTAACTCAATATCAACTGAATAATTCAAATTTCTGTGACATAAATACATTATTTCATCTGCCTAGTTTAACAATATTTTACATTATTGACCATTTATTTGTGGTAATTGTTAGGTTTGTGATGAGTTGAGTCATATCAAAGTTTAATCAATATTGTTCTTCAGTTTCCATGGTTTTAAAGTGTGTCAATCATTACAATGACCCCGACATCACTTTTTATGCAGTATCTACATTTGTAGGTGACTTCAAGACATTTGAAACACATCTTGATGATCAGGTTCTATCAAACCAATCCTGCATGTGTACAGTAAGTATATCCTTATTTGGCGTAATGATTTCGCTTAATGCAGCCAAGTAACTTTAAGATAAGTACACTTCAAATAATTTATTTATAATGTTAAAGCAACACAAAGCAACACTTAACATACAAAAAACATTCAAGTATAAAATCAAAACAAAATTGTTAAATAGTAATAGTCAATTATGCATAATGCCTATTTTTAACATATATGTTGATGTTGTTTTTTCAAAATGAATTAAATTATTATCAAAAAGCTTTGTGGAGTCATTTGTTTGACCCAAAGTTATAATCTTATTTCACAATATCTTTTTGAAGTGAGTTGGTCAATAATGGAAGGTCACTGAAAACCATTTAAACATGTTGTTATGTTGGTAGTGACAACAAGCCACAAAAGAAATATATATCAGTATATGGATATTGCTGCTAAGTGTGAAATACATGAACAAATATTACATGTCTTTATATAGAAGTTAATAAAATGTTCTAAAACAACTGTAATATTGTTAAAGTTCATACTTTAACTTATAACTATATAAAGAATTATATTTCAAGGAATATTTTTTCAAGGAATATCCAAATTATATTTTCCTATTCATTTTCACAAATTTTTAAATAAGTGTAGTGTGATCTACACATCTACACATTCAACGTATCTTTTATTAACGAAAAGCTGACTTTGTTTCAAGCTAAGAAAGATAGTTATTACGGTAGTAAAGACCTACAATAACCATTCATAAAAATAATTAAAATTCAATTTTTGAATTAGATATGTATCTTGTTTCATTATTTGTTTTGTCAGCGTATAAATGTTCATCATTATAAACACACTGCGAGTTATGGTAAGATTATTGTATGTTATTGATTGTAAAAAAAAGAACATAGATTATTCAAAAAATTACAAGTAGCGGTTAACAGAATATGAAAAAATAGTTAAATAATTAAAAACAGTTATTTCCTTTTTTTGGAAAAGATCCGTCGTGCATACTCATGTAGTTGTAAAGAAAGTTTTGAGTAAAAAAAGGTTCATACTGGTATGTTCTGTTCTATTATTCATGATTTGTGTTTTTTTTTAAGGAATTTATTTTACTATTGGATCCCTTATATGCTGCTTATGAACTGTTTTTTCCGTTTATAAGTTCATCCCCCGTGTAGCTCCTGTAAAATTCTCTATACCCACATATATTACTTTAATGTCCAGGCCTTTTTGTCTATGATTTTTTAATTGGTTATGTCTACAGTGGCCTTTTTTCCATCATTATTTCAAATATCTATATAAACAATAGAAATGTATTCTTATGTAAATGTCGCTAGAAAAGAAATGTTGATAAAGTTTTAGATTTAGAATGAACTTTTATATGATAAACAATAACATTTTGTTCTAGAATATTTAATTAGCAGCTAAATGTAATATCGGATAATGTATCTCACACTTGCCAATAACTTCTATATAATTCTTTCATGGCTTGTTGTTATGTCTGATACTAAAGACTATTAACGTACTTACTCATTGTATTACAGACCTCTACTATAGACCACATCATTTAAGCTTCTATTTCATAATCGTACAGTTCATGTCTGAAATCATTGCATTCGGATATAATAGAAATTGTTTCTTTTCTTCAAATTTATATTTGATCAGCAAAGAATTAAAGCGAGGAAACTGCTTTTTGCGATTTATTGTTTCTGTACTGCTCATTTTTTTTATAAATTGTGATTATACACGCACGCACACGCGTGTGCGCGCACACATACACCAGGAAAAATTAAAAAAAAATATATTTATAAATATTTGCAATAGATTTTATCAGATTTTATCTAAAAGGATTACATCCCATTTTTACCAAGATTCTTAAGTTAAATTCTATGCCAAACGAAAGTACATAGAAACAAGTATAATATTCAATCCTGTATTCATTTTCCTAATAATAGTAATATATTTAATCTTAATTACAGGTTATTAACTTCTCACAACTTAAAACATAAAAAACAATAAGAATATATTATTCTACCTAATTAACAAGCCCAATTGTTGAAATTAATTGAAAACGAATTTAAAAAAATTAAAAACCACGGCCAAAAGATTTAAATATTGCCTTATCTTCAACTAGAAAAATCTAGCCAAAGGTACGATATATATATTCGAGTGTTTGTGAATCAGCAGCTAAATTGAGGATTTACGTTCAATTTACAACGTTTTCATGCCAAAATGCATGGAAATTCCATGCACATAGTTAACACACAGTGAGGGGAATTACAAAAGTATATACTGATTTGAAGCAAGACAGTATGATTTACTATGTAAACAATGTAGTTTATTTGAGCAAAATAAAGTACATCATTTTTTAAATGACCATTGATAGTAAAAAATGACTATGTAATATTTTCAACATGTAATCAAGAATCATAGTAAAATGAATATGTAAAGTAATCCACTACCATATAAAATAAAAAAATTAAGGGTTTCAAAAAGATATAAAAGTCACTCCTGCCATAACTAATGTTTAGTAACTATCGCTATGTTCGTTGACACCATCAATCTTGCCCTTTGCATACTGTGTAATTTGCCTCAAGGCGAGAAGAAGTGGTATGTTCCTTTTCCAACTGATTTCAACAGAATCTTCATCTTCATAATTTGTAACTGGATATACAGAGGCTACGGGAATATTAAACACTTCGCTTGCCGTTATTACTGCTTCTGTAACCCTAATGCTTCGGAACATGTTTGTTTTGTCCTTTTGAACCTCTTCGCAAAGAACGTCAGCTTTTGTCAAGATCAAAACACGTGGTACACCTATGTCGTACATGAAAAAAATGTTCCTTGAAAGCACTTAAATAAAGGCATATGCTAATAACTTAATAACTAATGTCACAAATGTAAACCCTTAGCGGAGTTATTCGGCTATTTCACACCGGTTCGGGGTTTTTGATGCGTATGATTTTGAATGTCGGTTTAGATTGAAACAGAATTTACTAAGCATTATGACTGTATGATTCTGAATTTTCTTTTAGATTTAAGAGAATTGTTTAGTTTAAACTTATTTATTCTCAGTATATCTACATAATAACATTTGAAATATATACACATACAAAATTTGACAATATTCAAAGGAGAGGATTAGAACGAAAGACTTGGTTTATTCAAATAGGAATTTTATGAATAAGACAATACTAAATCCACGGATTTGCAAAACCGACGTAAATACTAAAAGACACTTAAAATCCGGAAAAACCCGCAAGTAACTTATAGAAATCTTAACATACATTTGAAAACAGCAGTTACGATTGACATACAATTTTATCGTTGGCAGTTATATAAATATTTCATTAATATGCACAAAAGTATGAAAATTATAAACTTTATATCAACTGAAAAGACCAATCACTCATCTGGCATAAATAACTGACAGCGCCGGGTAAATTCGCGCGTGTGTGTGTGCGTGCGTGCGTGCGTGTGTGCTTGCCTGTGTGTGTGTTTCGATATTTTATGCACATTAGTGTACGGGATCGACAACGTTATTCACGGTATCGTTATTTTGGACAATAATTCCAATAAAAGCAATATAAAATATCTTTTAAGGAGGAAACATGGTTGAACAGAAGTTTAAATATCTGAAAACTAAACAAGAAAGTGAAAGAACTAAAACTCTAAGAAACTCGTTTCCGGAATTTATTTAGGTTAATTATAAACAAGACATGTTGACTATTTCAGAATTATGCTGTATATTGAATGGTCAATGATATTCCCAGATTTCAGCATCATATTAAAATGTGGAATTTGCCATCAATTTTTAAACAATACTTGAACGTAAAAACTGCATCTTAACTATTTGATAAATGTCAATCAGACTTACAGTAAGGTTATACACGCAAAGAATAAAACTTTACGACTCACATTACCTCAATCACGTTAAGGTTATCTATCCTATATCATCTAAACTTTTCTTAAAGATAAAGTCTGTCAAAATATCTTAAAGTTGCGCTACAATTTATGTTAAATAAATAGAGGATATTTGTTTGTTTGCATGTAAGATTGAAATATATTTCATTGAGTGAACACTAGATACAATATTTTCAAGAGTTGCGTAGCCACGAGTAACAAAAGGAGAAAAGCTGGTGTTCACGAATGAAATATATTTCATTCTTATATGTAAAACAAAAAATTTTTCTTTTTATTTCATGCTTTTTAAGCGATTTATATCATTTTTTACTGATTTTCCCGCGTAACATCGCGCATTCTTCTTTATGACGTCATCACATCATGACGTCACATCATCATGTTTGAAATATTGTTCTGTTATTTTTTTATGTTTTTTAACATGATGTATGATGACATCGACTTTTTTTCCTAAAGAAGCAAAATTTACGAATGACGGCATTTAGTTATGCCCGTGATTCCATTTAGCTTGGATATTCTTTTCACCCGCATTCAGATATAGTCCGGCTACAATGAAAATTATATAGAGGATATTTGTTTAGTTCAGTGTAAGATCGGAATTTATTTCACCGAGTGAGCACCAAAAGGTATATTTCACGAGTGGCGCAGCCACGAGTGAAATATGAACTTTTGGTGTTCACAAGGTGAAATATATTATGATCTTACACTAAACTAAACAAATTTTCTTTTTATTACATGCAAATACACGTTTTAAAAAGACATAAAACCTAATGCTGAATTAAAAGCGCGCCAAATAATAATGTCATCTACGACGTCACGTCATTAAGTTGGTACCCAGTACTGTGCCCGCTGGTATTTCACTGAAACAACGTTAGGGGCTTAAGTTAAAAACAGTGAAATTATCAAAGTGGTAATTTCAATGTTTCAAACAGTGAAATTACCAGTTTTATATCACTGATATATTTCTATAAACCACCGAAAAGCATGTAATAAAGTTTATCAGAATATAATCATCTAATATATTACAGTTTAACACTGGAAAGTATGAAATAACTTGTCATAAAAGTAACTATATGTAACCAATACGAAATACCTACAACGAATATATCTAATGCTAAATATGATTTATGTCAAAGATGACTCAGCTATATGGTCAATAGGCAATCTGTTATAGGACACCAACAGTGATAAGCTTTTGAGAAATAAGACATTTACGGGCACAATGGGCCTGAAAAAATTAACAGCTGTTTATGTTTGAACAATATTAAAAAAACAAAAACAACAACAATAACAACAACACGCAAACTTAAAATTTTGAAGGATATTTAAGGGACTTCATCTAGGTTTTTTTTTGTAACGATAGCACTTTAAGAGTTTTTTCCAGCTTTGTGCTCAAGTTCTGTATCAAAAGTTTGCTTTAAAAGTTCAACTTATTTGTTATCACTGTTTTTTCCCCTCCAGAATAAACATTTTATTATGCAAAATAGCACACAAAATGATAAATGGATAAACTATTAAAAGCGCTTTAGAAAATTCGATTTTCCATTTCAACCTGAGCATATTTCCTTTTTATTTTTTCGAAATATTTTGTTATAATATCCCCAGTCAATTTAACGGATTAGTGTTAATTTCATTTTTTTAGGATTTAAACCTCAGTTGACCTTCTTCAACATATCACCCAAAAATCCTCGAAATGAAACATAATCATGACGTTACATGATCTGTAATTTCACATAAAGTTCAAGTGATCAGATGTGATAAAAATGTGCCCATTTTCATTGTACACAGTTAAAATAGATTGATCTTTAATGGGCAATTATTCAATATTCAGTATTTCAAATATTGGTAAAAATATATCATTTAGATATTCTTATAAAATATTGCTTGGAAGAAAATATTGATAAATTTATTTTACAATATTTGAAATACTTGTAGACAATTTTCCCATTATAGACCAATCCTCTGTTAACAAAAACTATTCTGTGCTTCTGTTAGTTAGCAGTACTTATTGTTTTAAACATTGCGTTATCATTGATCTTCACATCTACACATTCAACATATCTTCATTCAACGGAAAACTGACTTTGTTTAAAACTCAGAAATATAATTATATCGATATTAACGATCTACAATGATAACTAATAGAAATAAAATTTTGGAGTTAATAAAAGTTTTGTTCTGTTCTATTCTTCACGTGTACCTAAATGGCTTAAACTTATATTGAACCACGCACATACATACACACCGAGAAAATTTAAAACTTTTATTGAAAATATTAGTTTTCTATTGAATTTCATTGTATATTTGACATCACTGTGTACTTATGTTTAGTCACTATCGCTATGTTCATTGACAGCTTCAATCCTGTCCTTTGCATACTGTGTAATTTGCCTCAAGGTGAGGAGGAGTGGTATGTTCTTTTTCCAATTCATTACAACAGAATCTTCATCTTCATAATTCGAAATTGGATGAATGGAGGCTTCGGGAATATTAAACACTTCGCTTGCCGTTTTAATAGCTTCTCTTACCCTAAAGCTCCGGAACACGTTTGATATTTCCTTTTGAACCTCTTCGCAAAGAACATCAGCTTTTGTCAAGATCAATACACGTGGTATACCTATGTCGTACATGAAAATGTTACTTGAAAGCACTTAAATAAAGGCATATGCTAATATCTTAATAACTAATGTCACAAATGTAAACCCTTAGCAGAGTTATCCAGCTATTTCACACCGGTTCGGGGTTTTGATGCGTAGGATTTTGAATGTCGGTTTGAAACAGAATTTATTAAGCATTATGACTATGATTCTGGGTGTTGTTTTAGACTTTAGAGAATTGAGTCATACATTAAAGTTTATTCAAATAGGAATTTAATGAATGAGATCGTATTGTCGATACTTAATCCACGGATTTGCAACATTGAGGTAAATGCTGAAAGACACTTAAAATCCGGAAAAAACCCGCAAGTAACCTATAGAAATCTAAAAATATCTTTGAAAACAGCCGTTACAGCAGTTTAAACTGACATACAATTTTATCGTTGGCAGTATATAAATATTTCATTAATATGCAAACAAAATATGAAAATTATGAACTTTATATCAATTGAAAAGATCAATCACTCATCTGACAAAAATAACTGACAGCGCCGGGTAATTTTTATGTGTGTGTGTTTTTCGATATTTCTAAGGAAATAAGTTTACGGGATCGTCAACGTTATCACTGCGGTACACCGTACCCCGGATATTGCCCGCTATTTGAGGAATTTAATCCCCTTTCGCGACTTTGAACGGGGAACAAAGGTAAGTTCAGTGACGATATTTAGTCATTTTGAATTTGTTTGATATAAATTTTACAGAAAAACAAATACTTCGATAATTTCTCTAGTTACTGAAACCCCAAAAATGTTGAGAAATAGCTTTGATATGTGATTAAGAGGTAAAGTTCGTCCCTTGCTCACGTGATAAATGAGCTCGGATCAGTCAAATTTTATATTTTTGTGCATATACTTCCGAATAAGAAAAACTTGAATCTAGAGATGATAATGTTGATATTGTTAATGTTCAATCAACAATAGAATCTCAGATGATAGCGCATTTTGAGAATAAATGCACATGTCAATGTACCGAGTATTGCGTTGGAGTTGCTTGCCGGTGTCACGAGTATTGCTTTTGAGTGTGACGAGTATTGGTTATAAATATCCAGTAAATGCGAGAAGAAAACACAGAGTATTTACCACATTAAATCTTAAATAATTCTTATTTTGTATACTTATTTACACTATATGTGCAGAATATGCAGGGTTCGGAGGTACTTTACTGGAAACAAATGCGGTGAGATTTTTATTCCTGCTCATTAAAAAACTCAGTCGAACGAAGTCAGCAACTTTCTGTGTAAATTTTACAAAGTTCTTGTTGCTGTCGAAGGATCAACTTTTTCAGAATTAATTAATTATAATATTATAAATAGTAACAAAATTGCATTGAAATAATATTAATGCTGCCTCAAGAATGTCAATATTAGACGGTATTGTGCAAGTGTACCAAAGGGGCGCCAGAGGGGTGTGTGCCTCCTTCTGTTTGGAGGTTTGAAGTGGGGCGGTAAAATGTTTGACTTGTGAGGGGCTAAAATGGCTTCATGTTGATCTTAAGGTAACGTGTAACCAACGTTGAAGGACCTTTTACTCTATCTCAATCCATTGAGGAGTGAGTTGCAACACCTTAAAGCATTAAAGCAACACGCCTCCAGATTCATGCTAATTTTCATGAAAATTTTGAAACTGTATTTGAATGTTTAATATTGTGATATAACCAAAAGGAAGCAATTTTTACACATTATCGTACAAGCCATGTTAATTATCAAAAAGTGATCAAAATATGCATAAATAGCCCTTACCGCGTTAGTAATGCAGTAGAAATATAGTTGTAAATGCTACAAATCAGTCATTCACCGCACATAACATGTAAAATATTACATGAATCTTGAATCATTTTACTTCTCCTAAAATGGTAGTACATATTTCTCAAGTTTGATTTTATTGAAATATTTTGATTCATCTGAAAGCATGCAGCTTTAAAATTAGTGTTGATGCGAAAAAACATTGCCATTGCCCGTTGCCATGGTAACTGGAAAGTTAAGATTGAGCATGCTGTTCCACAGGATATGGTCAAGTCAACATTTGTGCAAAGTTTGATCAATATTGAAGCATTTTTATAGTTTCATAGCAGTTTGAACTTGTGAAGGAGGTCATTCAATGACAACTGCCATTTTGTGCAATATGCTCATGAAGTAAAGGTTAAGACGATACCGGCATACTTGGATGGCATTAACCTTCGGGCATTTTTTACTAGGTGTGCCGACATGTTTCTTATGGCACACTTGCACTAAAAAACCTATAATTAATGTCATCTTATTGGGTATCCCTGATCACATTTTCTTGAGAGATGTAATTAAATATTTTTATCGTCAATTTTTATGTATCTACCCTGCTCCTGACCCTGCTCCCGACTATAAGCACGCACTTAAACGCAATCTTCATTAACACGCTTAAACTATATTTCATCCATAGTGTGATTGTCTATCAAATCGGGAATTTAATCTCTGTATGTCCGTAGAAAAAAACAGTAATAACAATGAATATGCATTGTTGAATCTAAAATATTTGAATAAATATCATAAACAGTACATTATCAGCAAAATAAACAGACGTTAAATTAGATAAAAATATCGATTTTCCATTCTAATTTGCTCATTCTGTTTTGCAATACAATGTACACTAAAGTTGGGCTATTTTGCAATACTTTGTACACTTAAAATCAATACTCGGTACACTTTCTTGTATCGTTTTGGCCTGTATCTTTTTGTACTTTCACACTATTTGCTTGAAATTTGGACTAAGCATACTTCGATTATAAATGAAAGAAATGCTCGATTCAAATATTTCTTTTCTTGTTAATATATATATAATAATTTTTAACGATTCTACAGTATCGCGTTCAGTATTTTCTAGTAAGCAGTCGATCGTTTAGGGGTAGTTTAATCAATTTCACAAATATCTGTAATACTTTGATGTCTTTTAGAGCTACAAAAATACCTCAAGATATATAAGACTCGTTGAGATAAATGAAAAAGCTAATAGTTTGGAAAAATCGTCGCAGAACTTTCCTTTGTTCCCCGTTCAAAGTCGCGAAATGGGATGAAAGTCCTCATAATATCGAGCAATATCCGGGGTACGGTATACTGCAGTGGTTATTCCTGGTCTGTTATTTTGGACAAATTTATATTCCAATAATGAGATTTAAAAAGCAATGTAAAATAATTTTTAGGAGGAAACATGGTTGAACAGAAATATCTAAAAAACTTAACAAGAAAGTGAATGAACTTAAACTTTAAGAAACCTAAGAAGAAAGTTCGTTTCCGGAACTCATTAAGTTAGTTAAAAACTAGACATGTTAACCATTTCAGAATTATGCTTTATATTAATTTACTTATTTTAAAATTGCCAATGATATTCCTAGATTTCAGTTTGTAATTTTAAAAGATCATGGCACATTTTACTTATATTCATGCCTTGCCCATTTTTTTTACAGGAAATCAAACTGATTTTCGACGGCATTTGACCGACAACAATAAGATAGGAAAATATTAATCAACTGCTTTTTGTTGTTATCTTATCGAAATTAGTACATGTATAAAAAGGGCAGCCGCACTTACATGTAGTCAGTAAACAAAATTCATTGACAGTTAAACATCGTTTTTATTTGTGTGTATAGTGACAAAATCACAAGTCAAGTTATAATATTGTATGAAGAAAGTAATATTTGTTCTGATGTTCTTATATAAATGACAAATAACGAACTGTGCCTGTTCTTAATCAGGTATTGTCAAAAAGAAAATTTAAGACAACATCAGTACTAACCATCGTTCAACGATGGATGATAATCTTTTATGAAGATAAATGCTCTCTTTACTTACGTAATTGCTTCACTGCAGTTTGTATTTCTCTTATTTTCCTGACATAGGCTGGGGGAATGCCAGTGTGCATAACATTTGCATCAACTACAAATACAACGCAATGGGTCTGATGTTCGAACTTTGGATTATCACGCCAGTGGGTCTTGTTTTCCGGTGTAATTGGGCTTCGTGGGTTAAACTAAAATTTGGAAATAATAACAGACATTAGCAATATTACAAATCAATAAGAATATTACAATGAAAATGTTAACTGTTTATGCCGTTTATGATAAGTGTACACAAAATAGTTTGTTTCTTTTACTAAACGCTCAAAGTCCATTATTTCTTTTCTAACATTTGGTCAAATAAATCAAAGCACATTATTAAAGAATTGACACTACATATCACAATTTAATTCATCAATTACCGTATAACCATCCTTAATATGCCCTTTAAGAAGAGAAACCATGTCAGCAACATTAAATCCTTCCTCAGCACTTTTTTCTAATCCCATGCAATCCCTAAGACGAAAGTTTTGGAGTAAGGAGTTATCTGTGTATTTGTCATACTGAAATGAGAAATACAAAACAACGTAGGTCTTTCACGAAGACTTGCACACGACATCATCAATTGGCTCTTTGTGTATACCTTTTATCTAAAATACGAACTTTTATGGAAATATTTTCAATTATTAATAATCAATGTCACCAGGAATTCATCAAAGAATAAGTGCAATGGGTTTTATTCTTTAACACATTTATGTATTAAATAGTTTTTTGTAGCACAACAAAATAAAAAAATACAAAAAAACCCCAAGATTCTAAACTGTTTAAATGTGTTATTATTAATATAAATCAATTTTGACATTTTGTATTTAGTGAATTAAAAGTATGTTTGATTAAATGTTACAGTTTCATGAGAACCAATCTTGGTGTACGAGGACTGCTTTACACGGTATTAAAATAGCAATTGTTTATTAAAATTCAAGACAGATCTGTATGATAGGTTTAAAATGTAAATAGAAAATTATTACTGATCATTATTTCCCTAAGTAAATATATTCCTAATTATGCTTAAACTTTAAACAGCTTCTCTTTGTCATTTGAGACATATTTTAGAAAGTTATTCAATAGTGGAACTGGACAAAATCTGACATATTAAAATATATTATGCTCGTCTTGTCGCAGTTGAAGGGGCGACCATACGAAATAACGAAAATCGACAACACGAAATAACGGTTTTTGCATTCAACAAATGCAATAACACGAAAGAACGACGAAATGCATGTTGTTGCCTTCCGCTAAGCAGGTACATACGTTTTTCACATATGCTTATTTCACTTCAATGGATCAAAATATCACTTGGATATTATTGACAATATAATCCCGGCTTTTCTGAATGTGATATAGCACTTGTCATCTCCAGGGATCACGCATTTTCTGAAAGTGATATGACAATGGTCAATTCCCGGGATCTCTGAATGTGTTTCTTTTTATTTGCCGAACCTGGTAGATCGATATTCTGACCGAAATAAAGACAAAGGTATGAATTATAAAGTATTGAACGAATATTTGATCAGTTCATATTTAATTGTTAAACCTGAAACTACCAAGGTTAAAAATAAAATTAACGACGCTGAAACGACCCTCACAGCGAGTAAAACATCAACAAAAGTAAATTCAACGACAGGGACGTTATGAAAAGCAACACCGGTTAAGTCTCCCAGTGATGTTGACTTAAACAGAATAGTCAACAATAAACATAAAAGCTTAAACTGCTTCATAGATAAGAGGAAGTGGACAAGTCCAATCTTGTTTACAAGAATGGATTCATTTATGTTGAATCAACGTTTTTATTATCAAGGTATATTATGAAAACTAAAAATGTTTCACGGGAATCCCATCATCCCAACCGGATGATGCTCCACGAATAATTTTTAAACACAGAAAGGTATACCTCTTGTGTCAGAGTTATGTCACAGACAAAGTTCAAAGTGTAAAAACAACCCAAATGTTGCGCTCAATATGGTGATCATTTCTATGAAATAGTTGTTAAATCCGACTTAAAATAACGAAGTTATGGGTCGGACACTATTTTGCTGCAAGGTCATGCTGTGACCTTGACCTTCAAGGTAGCGACCCAAATCTTGCGCACGACACGTCATCTCAATATGGTGATCATTTCTGTGAAATAGTTGTAACATCCGACTTCAAATTATGAAGTTATGGGCCGGACACGATTTTTTTGCAAGGTCATGCTGTGACCTTGACCTTCAAGGTAGCGACCCATTGTCTCAATATGGTGATCATGTCTATGAAAGAGTTGTAAAATCCGACTTCAAATAACGAAGTTATGGGCCGGACACTATTTTGCTACAAGGTCATGCTGTGACCTTGACCTTCAAGGTAGCGACCCAAATGTTGCGCAAGACACGTCAACTCAATATGGTGATCATTTCTATGAAATAGTTGTAAAATCCGACTTAAAATAACAAAGTTATGGGCCGGACACTATTTTGCTGCAAGGTCATGCTGTGACCTTGACCTTCAAGATAGCGACCCAAAAGTTACGCGCGACACGTCATCTCAATATGGTGATCATTTCTGTAAAATAGTTGTAAAATCCTACTTCAAATAACGAAGTTATGGACCGGACACTATTTTGCTACAAGGTCATGCTGTGACCTTGACCTTCAAGGTGTCACAATAGGGACTACGATGGGATACCAGGCCGACCACAATTGCTATCTAAACAACCAACAACTCAGAACAGAAAAATATATACAAATTTATTTACAGAAATGAATATTTATAAATGAAAAATTATTATATATGATAAACTACGATGATAAGTCACTGCGCAAACAAACACTATCAACGTATCTCAGTCTATTTCTCCACCGTAAAGTCTCTGTCATTATGTATCAATAAGTGGTGGCGTTGTTGAACAAAATTCGTCACAATGGCGGGCGTCTTGTATAAAATCTTATCAAGCGTAAACTGTACTTCCTACAGTGTTGCACAGTTGATAGGATCCTGAACAAGGGCATGCGTCACCCTTTAGCCATGGACATACGTGTGGAGGGCCCGTGTCATCTCGGGTGTCCTCACAAATAAGAAGCTACAAAGTATAAAACATGAAAGTTCCAGATAATCAAACATAAGGGTATAAAATAAAGTCGCCTTGAAAAGACTCGACCTTTGTCGATTTCCAATAAGAAATAACGTGCTCTGTTTGAATACAAATGTCCACTATAGTACACCATACATTCGTGAACACAAATTCAATCACTCGATAATACAGCGTTGCAATTATCAAAATCCGCAATAAGTAACACAATAAATAATCGTTTCCAAAATCATGTCCACTGAGATTCTTCGCTATGAGATACGTTAGTTTGATACGTGTATTGTACTTATAATCAAACTGATGATAAATAAAGATAAGATGAAGTAATTAATTGATTGAAAACAAATCATTAAGTACTCTCTGCATTTACATAAATTAGCACAATCACGTAGAGCCAAATCAATTATTTAACTAGATATATATACTATATATATCTATAAAATTATTCATGGTCTATATCACAATTACAATATAATCTAAAACTTCAATTAACATACATCAATAACATGTCTCCGTATAATTTTGCAATAGATGATAACACTATAATAAAAGTAGCTCTTTAAAATTTAATCTGCAAAAATTTAGAAAATTTAGAAATACAATTATTACTTGCCAAATAACTAAACCTGAATAAATAAACTAATAATTCTAATAGAAAATATATTACGAATAGCAAAAATTTATTGAAACAAAATCACTAGAAATTAAATTTTCACTTGTACAAGCTGTAAATTTTATTGACAAATATAATTTGTCTTCACCGGATAGTGACTCTGGTATAAAGTCTGCATTGCAAAACTGTCACTTAAAAGTTTAGTCAATATATAACAAAACTGAGTACTGAGCGGAAAATCAAAATCGTGCAAAACAGAAAATCGATTTGCATCGAAATAAAGCTGGGACGGCGGGAAAAATAGTTTATGTGAAATAAAGGCCCATCCTTACAAATATCAACATAAACACATATATCTGTTATAAAAAAAAATGTAACTTTCTTATATACTGGAAGGATTTTTGTGAAATAACGGCAAATGTTTAAATTGATACATTGAAAATTTATGCAAAACCATAAAATACTCTAAATAACTAATTTCACCGAAACTCTAAATTGAACAAAAGATTGATGGCAATCTCACATCAATGAATATAGAGTACAAATGACGTTCGGCGTGAAAAATATATATGCAATAGTTTACAAACGTACTTTCACTTTGTGACAGTTTACGCCGCCCTTTAATAAAAATGATAAATTTTCTTAAATACAACAAAGTGAAAACGATACAAATTGCAAAACTTAAGTAGAAATACTGTACACCAATAAATTCATAACCCACCATAAATACTGAATGAGACACTCACATAATAGCTGCTTAGAAATAATCTGCACTATGTTTTTCTCTCATCCTGATTGACTCTAATCACTGTATGGCTGCAAAGAAAGACATTCATTATGTTAGAGAGTTACTTAACTTTGCTTGTTAAGATACAAAAACGTGGTGACTTCTCTAAATAGAATTCTTTACCAAACAATATCTGTGAATTTAGAAATGGCCAAACAATCAAAGGCCCCTTCTTATAGACAAATACTATGTCTCGTTGGTACATTTTCTACTGGCATAGCAGCTACTGGAAATTTCTCCTCACTTGTTCTGAGTAATACAATCCTAATCCCAATCAAAGCATCACTCTGAATAATAAATATCGTGTAAATCTGGTAATTTCAAATGCGGACCGGATCAAATAGCCTTAAGAGTCAAAGCTTCCTGACTTTCACCCCATTCAAATACGATTTTTGAACTTTTTTGTCAAATCCCGGTCAACGAACAAAATTCTGCAAAGCTAGGATAACTTCGTCTACAGACAACCCTAAAAATGCGGACTCTCTGCTAGTCGTGGGTCTTCGTCTCCTTGAATTGCATTGAATCTTACTGAGAACAGGTTCAAATTGCTTACTACTGTCTCATCATCATGACCTAAAATTCCCAATTTTCAAAACATATGAAACATTGGACGGCTAAGCATAACACCTAGACTTCTAATTGGGTAATAACTATACAATGCATGATATCTCTGCAATGTACTGTATAGACAAATAATCAGCTATAAAACTATCTGAGTGAATCTAAATTCCTTCAAAACCTTTCTCTCAGTCTACAGCAGTTGCAGGGTCAATTGACTAACAAAAGGGGCATTTTCCGGAAGAAAAAGTCGCTTGACTGGTTTCAAAGCGGTCATAGTTTGCAATGTTCAGACAAAGGACTTGCCATATCCTTTAACTTAAGGTCAATTTTCGAAAAAATACCTAGTATTGTTAGATAATTTCAAAAATATACTGTTCATATTGGGCATGCGTCCGCATCAAATACCGTGCATTTATTGATCTGTTAATAATTTACAGACTCTATGTGTATCCTTTTCCCTGATAAGGACAATTGACTA